CTGACAGTAAGAAACTGCTGAATTGAACCAGCCTATAAAATACTATATTTGGGGGAATGTATGCCTGTTTCCACAGGAAAAATTATGTGGTTTTTGGTCACTCAGGTGCAATTATAGATTGACAGGAGAGGGCCCCGGCCCTTGTGGGTGATGCTATCCTTGGGATGGTGGTCTTGGGGTCTAAAAGGAGGCAGTTCAAGCAAGCCAGTCAGCAGCACCCCATGCATGGCCATTAGCAACTGCTTCCAGGTTCCTGCCCTGTTTGAGTTCCAGTCCTGACTTCCTTCGCAGCTTGTTTTGTTTGTTGTTATTGTTTTGTTCTTTCTGTTTTTTTTTTCATGGAGTTTCATCACAGAAATAGAAACCTTAAGGCAAGTTGAAACAGAATCATGAGTTATTGTGAGAGATCTGACCATGTTGTTTTGAGGATTGTGAAAAGACCTTAAAACTTGGTCTAGAAACACAGTAAGAGTTCAGAACTTGATGACCTTTTCTGTGGAAGCTTGGAAGATAAGAATGTTGAGAGTAGAGCAATCAATGGAGGCCTGTCTTGTGAAGTTCCAGAGGGAAGTTTGAGAGTCACTTACAGACTAAAAATGAAAATCTGTGGTGATGGTTAGCTGAGAATTGGTTGTAATTAACAAGAGAGCAGAGTTATTGAAGAAAGTCTTTGCTTTACTGGGAAACTAAAGGCTGGCCAACTGGAGGTAAGAAATTAGCAGTGATTAAGAAGAAACCAACATCCCTGAGGCAAACTCTCTGGGGAAGTGTTTCCTCAGCGTCAGTGTACAGAAAGAAGCTGTGTTCCCGAGGCCACCAACGCTTTTCTTCTCCATGGCAGCTATACTTGGTATTGTACAAGAGCCTCTCAGGTGGATTTGAAGACAGGAAGGAGTGATGGAAAGAAGCTGAGGGTTGGCACTGTGAGAGGCCAGGATTTAGGCCATTAGAGAAGGTTCAGCCTCAGTATTGATGGAAGCCCCAGGATTGAAGGGTTCAAGGTGAGAAAATGAGGCTTGGTTGGCACCATGAAGAGAGCCCAGGAGTGGCTATTGGCGGCAGCTGCATTGCATCAAGGGACTTTATCATTTTTGGAGATGTCAGTGCCATGGAATGACCATCAAGGACAGCTGCAGCAGTAGAGTGGAAACAGTCCAAATCACTGCTGCAGAGGTCAGAGCAAGAGAAGTGTCCCAATCCCTTTGAGGAAACCTGAAGATTTCCAGTGGATCCCAGACATTGAATACTGAATAATTAAACAGTTTGAATTTGTTTTTGCTTTGATATGATTGTGACAGTGCCTTGGCTCTTCCCTCTTGAGATAAGAAAGTATTTAAATTATTTTTGATTTTACAGGAGACCACAGGTGAGGGACAATGAAGTAAAAGAATTTGGATTTAAAAAGAGACATTGAGGGTTTTTTTTTTTTTAATGAGGCTGAATTTTAAAGTGCTTGAATTTGTAAAGAGGTGTGACCTTAAAATGTTTTATATTGTGATACTGATATTTGTGGTGGTTTAAATAAACATGGCCCCCATAGGCCCTAAGGGAATGGCACTATTAGGAGGTGTGGCCTTGTTGGAGGAAATGTGTCACAGGATGTGGGCTTTGGGATCTAAGATTCTCAGGAGAGGCCCTGTGGCTCACTTTCTCTTCCTTCTGCCTATGGATGCTGATGTAGAACTATCAGCAAGAGAAGTGGCCTCATCAAAGCCATGTCTGTCTGCATGCCACCAGACTTCCTGTCATGACAGTAAAGGACTAATCCTTTGAATTCTAAGCCAGCCCCAATTAAATGCTTCCTTATAAGAGTTGCTGTGGTCATGGTGTCTCTTCAAAGCAATAGAAATCATAACTAACACAATATTAATTTGTGATATTGGAGATGAACAAGAAAGGAAAGGCTATGGCTTAACAGTGATGTGTTTGTGTGTCAGGTTGACAAGGGGTCAACTGTACTATATAGTTTTTTGTCAGTTTGACACAAGATAAAGTCATTTGAAGGAAAGAACCTCAGTTAAGAAAATATCTACATAATATTGGGCTTTAAGCAAGCCTGTAGGATAATTAATGATTGATGGGGAGAAGCCACTCCATTGTGGGTGGTGCCATGTTTGGGTTGGTGGTCCTAGGGTCAATATGAGGAAGCAGGCTAGCAATCCAATAAGCAATATCTCTCTACGATATCTACATTAGCTTCTGCCTCCTGATACCTGCCCTGTTTGAGTAGCTGCCCTGACTTCTTTGATGATGAACAGTGATGTGGAAGTATAAGCCAAGCAAACCCTTTCCTTTCCAAATTGCTGCTGGTCATAGTTTTTCATCATAACAAGAGCAACCTTAACTAAGACAGCCTCTGATTCCACAAAGCACATCTTCAGTTGAAGTCACACAGCATAATTCCTGTGTGACTGCCAGTTCCAGTATCATCTTAACACCTCCCGTTGTGGTCCTCTGACTCTAATCCTGTTTCCTCAACTTTATGGCATAGTCATTTTCTTTATTCCTTATCCCCACTGTAACAGACTGATGGGAGAACTGGAAATGGGCTGTAGGTGTTTGGGATGAGAGGAAAATGAGAGTGGGAAAGTCCATGTTAAATCCCATTTATTCAATACAGTACTTCAGGGTCCTCAAGTCAACTTTGAGAGTCACTGTTTTCTTTTAAATATTTTATTTTATAAAGGAATTCTAACTGTGCACTGGAGAAGGGGGTAGAGAATGTTCCCAGCATAAATAAGGCCTCAGTTCAATCCCCAGCATCTCATCAAATGCAGGAATTTGTGGCTCCCTGAAATTCTGGTACTCAGGGAGTAGAGGTAAGAGGATCAGGTCATCCTTGATACATAGTGAGTTAGAGGCTAGCCTGGGCTACTTGACACTCTGTCTCAAAAAAAAAATTGAATATCACGTTCAGCAAGATGGCTCAGCAGGTAAATACACTTGTTGCCAGACCTAAGGACCTGGCTTAGATTCTTGGGTAATTGTTTACCTCAGTTCTCATATTGCTAGCCTTTATTCTCCACAAATGTGAACAAGATCTCCTGTGGCAGCACAATGGACGTCACCATCAGTTAAGGAACCAGTAACACCCACTGTCACCCTGGAGCCTCCTCTTCCTGTCTCACTCATGTCAACTCAATTCACAGACTTAATCTCTGCTTCCAAATCCAATCACACTTGACCATTCCTCCTACAATATCTTCTTCAAGACTTTCTCAATTCCAGCTTTGATTATGTCATTGACATCACTGTATTTCCTCTGAGTATTCTTGCAACCACATGGATGATAAAATGGCCAGAGTTATCCTAAGGACACTGAAATCATGTCAAGTCAACTCTGAGATGCACCATAAGGATTCCTTTCCCCTCGTGGAAAGTTCATTAGGTATGCAGTGCACATGCTATGTACAACATAACTATGAATATAATTATTACTTCTTGGGGCTCTGGGGTCTGAATCCCAGTCACCCTGCTACCTCAGGCTGTCTTCTCATCTCAGGACTTTGTACTTAATGAGAGAATACTTTTCTTTTTCCTCTCTTCCAGCAGCCACACGTCTGTTAACTTAATCACCTTTCTTTAGGTTGTGCTTCGATTAGGCAGGTTTTAGCACTGAGACCCCCATTGGGATATAAGATTGTACCCAGCTTTATCATTCACCATCCTTTCATTATGTTTCAGTTTCTTCACAGCACTTGCTGCCAGATAATGTGTATCTGTCTGAGTCCATTTGCTGTCAGCCTCCCACATTATAATGAAACTCAGGTAGCAGAATGTGCTTTTGTCTTGCTCAGTTCTTCTTCATGACCACACTAGAATATGGTGGTTTATCATCAGGGAGTGATCAGGAAATATGAGGAATGCACCTGGACTTTATTATGAACATTTGTGACTATTCTGTACTTCTAACTGGTGTGTAGGAATTGAAGTCCTACTAAATTGATAGGCAGTTGGTGTCAAGAGTCTGAAGAGAGCACAAAAACAGTCTAATACAAACCAGATATCTTAGAATCATATTGTGTATGAGCACAAACATACATACATGGACTCACTGCACAGGCAGACCCTGTCCAATCCACAGGACAAATGGGGACAGCTGTGCATGAAACCAGAGCTGCACACATGAGCCAGGAAGAGGTGAGTAAAGAGGATGTCCAAAGGGGGATGCTAAGCCTGGTTAAATGAACACCACAATCAGATTTCCTGTTGAAGGGGACGGTCACCCAAAGGGCACAGAATGTCCCTGAAGCACCCAGGCTGTTCTATCTTTTCTGTTTTTCTCTCTCATTCCTTCAGTTTTACCTGCTGGATTTGTGATGCAGACTTCAGTGTGACAGTTTCCTGCAAGGTCTGTCCACTGAAGGTGAACACAGGGAATGAGAAGGCTGTGACACAGCAAACATTACAGAAGGAAGCCTGCCTAAGTGACAGCTGCCCACACATCCAGACACAGCTCATGTACCCTACAGAATAAGAACACATCATCCTTAGCACTCCTGCTTTACAATAAAGAAAAACACAGTGAACAAGAATCATCGGGCACAGATTTCCATAGCCAGCTATAACAGAAGCAGCATACAACGAGACCTCTTCTCCACAGACTGGAGGGCTTGGGAGGCTGGAATTAAATAACTGATCCTGAACTAGACAGCACGATGAGAGTGAGATACAACAACCTCATGCACACTGCAGAGATATTCTATTACCTGAAGCCTCCATTGACTGCTATAAGGAGAGTAATAAGAGGCAAACCACAACAATTTGATACATTTACCAAAAACAATACCCATATCATTTCCTGTAGGTTTATCTCAGCTTGAAGGATTGACAAAGACCATACACAGCCTGCGCAATCCAGGAAATATCAAAGCATCCTAGCTTTGAAACTGAGGACTCCCATTCTCAGGCATATTCCTAAATATCTTGTTATCTATGTGTTCCTTAGAGAAAAGAAGATGAGTCTCAGAAGTTAAATATGAATGCTCCTGTACACTTACCAGAAAAGCCTGTGCCCAGGGTATGGACTTACTGTAGGTCAGCTACAGGAACCGCTGTCCACTGTGCTCCAGGCTCTTCACATGAACCTACCCCTGGTCCCTCTATGGAAAGCAGCAGGTTTATGTTAGTTTGGGAGAACTTCTACACTCTTATGGCTCTGCTCCTCCTGTCTCAGTTTATTTTGGCTAATCAAGGAGGAGCATGGATCAAGTGGCTTTTCAGAATCCCCTTCATTTCCAAGAAAAGGAAAGTGAAAATAAAACAAAGAGTTGTTTTTTCAATCTATAAACACTTCATTTCCTGACAGAAATTTGGACAGTTCCCAAATAAAAATTCAAGGCATTGTAGAGCTTGCAAGGTGAGGGAGAACATGAAGAAGGGTTTTAATAAGTAGGCTAGAACAAACTGTTGAAAAATAATTTTAGTGATTCCTAACTCTACAAATACAGCCTAAACTGAAGTGGTGCAGCACATTGTCTGGGGTCCTGTGCAGATGTCAATTTTAGTCTCGCCCAAGAGACAAACCATTTGTCCCCCTCTGACTACAACCTTATTTCTTCACAATTGTGGATTCATTTCCCTTAATTCTTATCCTTCTCAACTCCCCTGTCAATGCAGAGATTTCTTCTGACTTGTGTTGACAAGCCTTATACATGATGGTAAAACCATGACCAGTTTATATGTAGAACTGCCCTGCAGTGTCCAGAAGACACTGTTTCCTTGTAATCATCTACAAATCTGACTCCTACAGTTTTCACCCTTTACTCCATAACTATTCCTATTCCTTTGGAGGTAAAAATATGTATATTCCATTTAGCTCTGAACATTTACAAATGTCTTATTCTATACATCTGGGCCAGCTGGTCGTATCTTTATTGATTATAATCTCCTACAAATATGAGCTTCCATGAGAAGGATTAAGGAATGCCTTAATCTATTACCATAATGGAAAATCATTAGGACATGCTTTAATATTATGTCCCTCTAGCATAATAGTAGTAGTAGGTTCTGACTAGGGTATATGTCCATTATAGCCTTAGGTTATTGTCCAGATATATTAGGACATGCTTTAATATTATGTCCCTCTAGCATAATAGTAGTAGTAGGTTCTGACTAGGGTGTATGTCCATTATAGCCTTAGGTTATTGTCCAGATATAGCCTTAGGTTATTGTCCAAGTATGGGTTTCATATTGTGGAGTAATATTAAATCCAATCAGGATGTAGTTCATTAGTACCATGACATTCTTCTCACTATAACATTGGTGGTTAAATCTTATCTGTCCAGTCATTATTGTAGCTCACAGAATTCACACCTAGATATGATCAATGTTTCATTTTCTACTCTGCTGCTATGGCTAGAACCTTCCAGCACTATGAAAGATAACCAGTAGGGATGGATCTTCTAGGTCAGTATCAGCTTATTTTCTCCATGTTCTATAACTCAGGAATGTGGTGTTTTCACTAACAGGATCTTGCCATCAAGTTCTGGAAGGTAACCAGGAGCACTGACAATGGCCTGTAATGACCAGGGTCATCCCCGGCCAACAAGTCCAAAAAAGCTAAGTAATTCCTGCATCTAGGATTTTAATTGTTACCCTGTAGTGGGGCCAAGGGACATTGGTGCCCAATAGAGGGAAACTCCATCTTCTTCGTTCTATGTGTATAGATATGTTTTAGAAAGCCTCTACATTTGGAGGTCACATGACAGGTTGAAAACCCTTTAGTGTTATTTATGCCTTCTACTTTCACTCCCCTGCCCTGTTCTCACCTCCCAGCCCAATTTAACACTTCTTTATCCATATTTCTCTTTTAAATCCAATCCCATCTTCCCTCTCTTGTAAGTCTCACTTCATGGCATCATAGTGTTTCAAACCCCTGTGGGTATCCCAAATAGAACACACATATCTGAAAGGTGGAAGATAAGTCTACACATAAGTGGGATTAAATGATGTTTGTCTTTCTGGGCCTCTCTTACCTTACTGAGAATGATTGAAATGCATCTCCATCCAATGCCCCATAAATTTCATAGTTTCCATTTTGCATAACAGATGAATAATATTTCATTCTGTAAAGTTGCACATTTTCTTTATCCATTCACCAGTAGATGGGCATCCAGATTGTTTCCATTTCTTGGCTATTGTGGATAGAGCAGGAATGAAGGATGTGCAGTAGCTGATCAGTAGTAGACGAAGCCATTTGGGAATA